AATATGCCAAGCACATTAATGAGTGTCAGAGGTAAACTAGAATGCTGGGACAAAGGGAAGCAGAGAATAAAATGTTTAAGCAGCACCTCTGCTTATTTCATGGTTAAGTTATTTTGTATTAGCCACGGAAATTGCTGCTCTGTCTGTTCGGTGAGGATGCATGCAGACTGCTCAATTAGCAAAAAATCGGAAAGAAATGACCTCATGGCTTGCTTCTGAAGGCTTATATTTGTTCTTTGTAAAGCAGGAGACACTATACTACAGCTTCAAATCAATCGACCACATAGTTCTGGTAATCAATGCACAAATAGACTTTATATGTATATATATTATATGGAAGCATGTGTCTACTTTTGGAGATAAAATATTTTCCAAGTTGCATGAGTTTGCTTGAGATCTGCAGGTCATGGTAGAGCTCACTGCTCTGCTGGATTCTGCCTCAGCCTGCTGGCAGGTGGCAGTGGAGGCGTGGAGCCAAGGCTTTGGTGAGCAGCATCCATCTGATTTGGCAATAAAAATCATATTTCTGTGCACAGAGAAGCAGGGAGATGAGCGCTGCCCAGTACTTACCTCCTGGGACACGTTTGGAAGAGTTGTTTTGCGGTTGGGCTTTAGTGTGTGCTAATTCTCTAGAGGACTGGATTTTTGGCTTTCACAAGGGTCAGTTGAATAATGGAGAAATGGAAAAACAATCAGTCCTTTTTAATTGTGCACAGACTGCTGTCAGTGTGTGACTGGGATCAGACAAAGAGGTGCAGTGTCTATGGAAGACAACGCTTTGCGAGCATGGAGCAGCAGAAAGTGTAGGTACTGGTGCAGGCTTTTTGGCTGTGACAAGTAGTTAAGCATAGCCTACATACCTACTTCTGAAGTCTCTGATTGTCTCGCATTCCGCCATATCATCTGTTAGCGTATGGCTGTCATGGATAATTGAGACTTATCAAGACAATGATTTTGTTAGAGCCTAGTTTCACACATTTCCTGTTAAACACCCAGGAGAGGGACGGGCTCTTGTTTCCCCCGAGCCCTTTTGCTGTGGTGGTGGAACTACAGAGCCAGAACTGCGACACTTCTTCATAGCAGCTATTACAGCGCTCGAGAGCTTCCCAAACTGCTGCAAATGCAGTAAACTGCTTTTCACAGAATTTGGAGTTTGATTTTTTTTTCAACACGTGCAGTATTTTTCCTTCACCAAATTACCGTCTTCCGCGTAGGCAGCGGTGGCAAGTGACCCAGGAAACAACTTGCGATGCAGCGTCTAGTCTGGCATCTGTATTTGTGCAAAACACTGTAATTTACAGGAGCATTCATCAGCGCAGCTCAATTGCGGAGTTCTTCAACGGACTTGGTGGGAATAAATAGATAATAAATTATGTGCTGGCGTATTAAAAGTAATGTATCTGAATAGGTGCTCAAAATATTATTTTATCATAGACTTTTGCCAGCTGTTTAAAGTCAGCACAAATATTGCTGTTTATATCAGTGGGAGCTCAATCAGATCAGGATGTATTATAAGAGAACTTGGGGACTTGTGCTTTCGGAATAATGCTCTGTGAAAAAGCCATCCCTGCAAGCTGCAGGGGCGGGGGGCGATTTTATTTTTAACTTTCTGCATTTATTTTTCATAGGATGCATCACGGCTGATGCGTTTACCCACGTGATGTAGGGTAAGGAGGTGTAACTGAGGCTGTAACCACAGCTCTATCTGTGATCCAGCCTGACAGTCCCAGCCGTGAGCACCAGCACCCTTTAAAGAGGGACCTAGTCATGTTTTTAAAGCAGATGTTTAATCTGTCTAAAATAAACAAACTTGGCCCTAAAACTAGCTGTAACTTAACAAACTTGTACCAGAATTCTAAAGACATATGGAAATCAGTTCATGTAGAAAATTCTCTTTTTTTCTGTTGGGCAATGCTGTGGCAGAGCTTGTCCTTGGAACGTGAGGAAACAGTTTCAGCCACTGTAAGGTCGCAAATGGGGATCTGAAATCCCCTGTTAACAGAATAGCCGCTGTTTTCTTCTACCCTGAAATTAGTGCCAGCAGGGCAGTTTTGAAACATGCAGAGAATTACCACATGCTGCTGCAATGGTAAAACAACCAGCTGAGCTCCCGGGTAACACCTCATCTCCCCCTGCCGCCACTTTTTTGGGGAAAAAAAAGGAATCAAAGATTGATCATTTGATGTCCATGCTGTAAGCTACCTTGGCTTAAATCCCCTGCTTCCTTCTCCCAGCGTCCCCCAGCCTTCTGTCAGCAGGTGGTTGCCTATTTTAAGTGGAAAAATATAGTCTTGTTGTGCAGATACCTTTTTTTCTTGATCCTGTTGAGATCTTCACCAGGGCCTTCCTTGGACACTTCAAATAGAAGTGGCACAGAATAAGAGTTAAATTTTTTTTCACTAGTATCTGTTTTTTATCGTTGGTTGTCAGTGGAACAGAATAGGAGCCCACACAGCAGCACCCCAAAACGTATGAATAATTACAGTGTTGGGGTGTCAATCGAGGGGAGGGCGATCCCACGCAGGCTGCATTTCAGTTTTCACCAGCCGAGCTTTATCAGACACTAGTCCAACCAGCAGCATGCTAAGTGGTCGTCTAATTGTGTTGCTTTGCAAGACAGTAGCATATTTCATGTCCACTAATTTGATAGAAGGATTTGTGAAGAACAGTGGCTGGCGGGAAGCCACGGGCTGCTGCTGTTAGAGCGGGTTGTGAAGGTATGGTCTGCCCGCCTGCCCCGGAGAGCTCCCCAGAGAAGTTGTGTCAGGAAGATTTGAAAAATGCCCAAGGCTCCATCCCTCAGTGGCTGCCAGAACCGAAATATCTGCGCTGCTGCTCCAAAGAGCGCCGGAGGAGTAAGAGCTCTGTGGTTGAAGCGGTCAGTTGTTTGATGCTAGTGCTTCGTTCCTCTGAGTCACAGCAAGTTTAGAAACTAGACCATGGTATATTAAAAAGATGGCAATGGAGAGGATGGCTTTGTGTTTTCTGCCATCCAGCCATAATCAAACAGGAGGGGGAAAAAAGCTTGTTTTCTTTTTACTGAGCTTTTCCAGCGGCTCTGTTAATAATTATGATTCCACAGATCATAGGAAAAAAGTGCTTGATGAGGTGGAGGGGAGCTGGTCAGATCGAGTCACAAAATGTTCCTTTTTCCCTGCCCACCCACTGCCGCCGTCTCGCTGCTCTCAACCTGGCTGGGTTGGCGGTTCTCTCCCATGGCACGACAGGGGTGGGCTTTTCTCTTCTGCATGTCTGGTGCTTGTTCCTCTGAGCCTGCTTTCTGCGTTTGCTGGCCTCGCCTTGCGCCTCCTCCCGCGCTCCAGCGCTCCCCGCTCAGCTCCACGCTCTTGGTGGCGTTTCCTCTGTTCTCCCTGTCCTTCAGCGATGGGGTTTGAAGTCCCAGCAGAGGAACACAGCTGACTTTCACAGGAGCCATTTCCCTTCCGATACCGACAGCGCAGCAAGGGTGGGAAGAGCCTTCCCCGGCGCTGGAGGTTTCCCCTGCTGACGTACCAGAGCCGGGCTGGCAAAGCACAGCCTGTGCGCAGGCCCTGGCTCATCGGGGCTGGCAGAGCCACCGAGCACCCCAGAGGCTGCTGCAGCCAAGAACTGGGATCTCTCAGCCCGTCCCATTGCCAGCGCTTTCAACAGGCTGCTGGGGCACCGAAAGCCACGCTGGCTGGAAACTTGTTGCAGTCAGAGCCCATCCCACGCTGGGAAGGATTCCCAGGCTGAGGATGAGAATTTTTACTGCAGAGAGGCATGGTGGGGGGAGCGAGCCTTTCCCTGCGGAGAGGAATGCCCTTCTCTCCTTTCTCTCCCGGGCCATACTCAGCCTCCCTGAGCAGGAATACAATCACTGCTCTGATTTTCCAAAGGAATGGGTAATTCAGCAGAGAAGGGCTGCACCTACCTGAGCTGCAGACACAAAAACATGTGGCAGATCTCATCACAGCACAGCCGGATTCATTAATGCAGTAAGACTTCAGTGGCTTTCTGCTCCTTACCTGGAGAGCTTCAAGCATCAAAACAGTCCTTCAGTGCTTTGATACGGTTTCTGCCTTTGCAAAGCAGCATTTGCAACTCATGCATCAAAACTCTTCTGAGAGCCCCGTGACTTGCAAGTCTTCTGGAAATTTGTGCTTTCATAGCGTATGAACCCCTAGGGAGACATGAATCTTTCAGAGGCTGCATACAAATAAAATGCAGCATTTTACAGTCTTAGGCATAGCCTCAGGTTTCTCAGGTTTTCCTAACTAAGTACTGATTTTCTGCTCTTTTATTTATTTCTTTAAGTAAAGATTTTTCAGTTCACACTTGGTTCAGCGCTATATAACCAACATAATCCTATTTTCTTACTACTTAACCAGATAATCAAGATGCCAAAAGCATTTCTGTGGCTTGGGAATTCCCTTATTTTCTGCCTTAAAATTCTAATTGCAGTCATGTATGAACCTCTAGTTTATAATACAGAAAAATGCGATTTAGTCCCTAGGAAAAAAAAGAACATGGAAACACATGCAGGGAGACTCATTGTAATTTGCAATAATAATAGTAATATAATAAGATTTAGGTCATTGTAGCAAAGACTTAAGCTAGAACTGCTTTGTGTCTCTGAGCATCTTTTCAGGTTTTTTTCCCCCTAGAAAGGGGTGCAGGCAGGCTTGCTGCCTGTCCTGCTTCTTAGCTATGGAGTTGTGCTCCTGGAGTTAGTTTTCTAGAGTTAGTGATGTCCTGCAGATGCCTTCGAAGGAGGGGCAGGGAGAGGAGTGGGACTGGAGTAAGGAAGGTTATGCTCACCTGCAGTATTAAGCATCAGAGAAACCATACAGGGGAGGACTGAACACCTTGAGGGCATTGAAAACAGCGCGGCAGCTGACTGCAGGGAACCGTTGGTTGTTATTAAAAGCCAAGAGCAAGCATCTTCTCGTCTGTTTGTTTCTGACTTAAGGATAACAATCTTTAAATGCTGCTTTTCTGTTTTCCCCACAGGTAAATATGTCTATCAGCCCATGACACCCGTAGAGCAACTTCCCAGCACCGAAATACCCATTCGCCCTCGGGAGTCTACAAACACCATCCAGATCTCCGTTTCGCTCACCGAACACTTTTTGAAGTTTGCACCTGTCTTCCAGCCCCCTCTGCCCCCCGACTCCCCGCAGTTCTGCACAATCGCGGACCTCTTCATTGACAATTACCGCGTGAAATGCATCAATGGGAAGATGTGCTACGTACAGAGGCAGCCTCCCCCCGTGCCCCACAAGATAAAGCCCGAGGAAGCCCCTGTTCGCAATGCCTTAATCACAAAAGAGAGCAATACACCAAAACCAGATCACTGCTCGTCCCCTTCCAGCTCCGAGGACTCCGGGATCAATGCGGTGGGGGTTCACTACATAGAGTCGTGTGACGAGGACACGGAGGGGGTGGCTGAGCTAAGTTCAGAAGAAGATTACAGCCCGGATAGCAGCTGGGAACCAGATGAATGCCCGCTCTTGTCACCCTCGCAGTGCGAAATGGAAGTGATTGAGACTATAGAAACCACTGTGTGATCCGACAAGTTGGTATAAGATCAGTCCAGTTCCCACTCAGTAATGTTGCTTTTGTAGTATTTATATTTTCTGTTTTTTTTCTGACAATCCCTTTTTTCCAATGCACTTGATATTTCAGATTCCTCATGGGAGTGCAGTTATGGGACTTGCATATTGGTGAACTAGCAGCAGCCTGAGCAGTTTTAACATGTTCTCAGCCTGATCAGATCTCCCACATCTGCACGTAAGGTAGTGATAAATCTTAAGACTTCTATAGCTGAAATAGGCCCTTTTCTTGGTCACATCATATACTACTACTCATACAAGGATGTGCCACTCGAGATGTTTCCATCTGTCAGGATGTTTGCAGCGGGCCTTCAAAGCACAGAGGGTGAGCTGGTGCAGCACGCCTGCGAGCAGCGAAACCAAGTTGCCCTTACTCTTTCTCAAACAGCTACACGAGGTGCGGCGACAAGAGGCTCTTCCCGTCTCTGTCTGTCCTTGCGCGTTGTCCATCCTTTTCTCTAGTGCTGGTGCGACCCTTCTCGAAGGCTGTTGGCACCGCTTTTCCAGCGGGTTGGTATGGCAGGCTAGAGAATGCACAAAGTGCCTCCAACTTTTCTCCAGGCTATGCACCAAGCATCTGCTGAGTTAGGTCAGGCTCTGAAATCTCCTGAGAAGGCAACTGTTGCTGCGGAGGGGGATCAGGTGCCTGGATCCAGCTCGTCCCCTTTCTCTACGTGGCTCTCGGGAAGGGGATTTGGCTTTTGTAGCCAGGCAGGAGGGGGAGCAGGCAGAGATGAATCGCGGCCGTCTAACCAATACCATGCTAGACTGGGGTGTACAGTGCTAGGCGAAGGAAGTGACTACCTCCAAACACACAAGATCCGCCCTCGGCTTTGCCTGCTGCTTCCTCCCGTGCTGTTTGGTGCCGGACACACGCACTCAGGGCCTGCATTTGCCTGAAGAATAACAAAATAATAAAAAAAAATAATAATTGTTTATCAGCCACACCACTGTGTTGGCAGAGCTCGGGGACAGCGTGGAGGTGCCCGTGGGAGGTGGCCCGCGGGCTCAGCAGTGCGTGTGCTTGTCAAAATACAGCCTAAGGTCATTCTAGTGGAGAGAGGAAGCTTCGGCTCCTGCTCCTTTGCACCCAGTTCACGAGCGGATTCTGAACAAGGGTTTCCTCACACAGCTGGTAAGAGCGAGCTGTCTCGCTGGTGGTCTGGTTTCAGCCCTGCTTGACGAAACAAAAATGTCATTCTCAGAAGATTTCAGTCAGCTTGAATCAGTTGGAGTCAGTAATAACTGTGTTTTCAACAGCGTTACTGAATTTCTTTGTGTATTTGCTGTTTACGTTTCAAAAGTCTTTGGTGAATATAAGGCTGTATAAATGTGTACAGTTTAGTGATTGATACTAGATTATAGTCCGTGTTATAGGATGGCTCATCTCTCACTGTATCCTGACAAGGTATTACTAATTTTATACACTTTGTAATCAGTATCTTTAGAAAACGTTTAGGCGACAGTGTGTGTATGTGCACATGCGCGTGTGCTAGGAGTTTACCATAAATGGTTATAAAGTAATACTGTACTTTTTAGACTAACACTTTCAGACAAAAATAATAGGTTTTATAGTTTTGATGACTTACATAAAAAAAAAGTGCAATGCTTGTTAAATGAGGAACTTGGGCCATTGCATGAACAGCTACATTCTCACAAGGCAACTGAAAATGTTCTGTTTTTCTGAGGGCATTTAAACGAAGGCCGTAGTAAAACTAAATAGGATTTATTTATTTTTTAAGGGCGGGATTGTCTTTCTTGGTTAACTAAGGTTTCTAACAACACTTCAGTGTCTTTTGACCATTCAGACACATTCCATAGGTAGAAGCATTATGTATAAACCTACAGCATTTATTCATATTTAATCTTTGAATTGTAATCTTGAGTGGAGAGCTGAAAAAGCTCTCTCTTGTGCCTGGCCTGCCTGAGCTTTCTTCCCAGGGGCGGCTTCTCCTACCCGGGAGGAGAGGGTGGGCTGGCAGTTGCATCCTCACAGGGGACTAGCGGAAGCGGGGCACCTTGCTGGAGGCCAGGGTGCTCCCTGGCAGCTCTCGCTGCGGGCGCCAAGCCCAGGAAAGGGCATCAGGACCCTCTGCCTTGGCATGAGCTCACCTTGTTTGCAAGCAAGCAGGAGCCGCCTCCTGCTGTTAGGGGACACCAGCTGTGAGCATGTTGAAATTCAGTTGGGTGTTTATGACCACCACTTACCATACAATCGTGGTCTTGCAGGTTCATATCACTGTCGTCAGGATACATGCTCTCTTAACTGTAAGTAATTAGCAATATTCACAAGCTGTGAGTGTCTCCTACCCAGGATTTGTTGAGATGTCTTAAGCACAATAAGCTGCCTCTTCCTTCTCTTACACCTGTAAAGTGTCAGTGGAGCAGCCTGGCAGTGAAAAATAGTTCGGGAAGGCGGTGCAGCAGCCGGCACAGTGGCAGGGTTCTCGCTGTGCTCCATCGCGCACCCCAGTTCAGAAACACGCTTCTCACAGAAACGTGATTTCTTTTCTTTGCACAAATACTGGCGTAGACGCGCTGTAAGAGACATGCCCTGAGCTCATTGCTCCACTCTGCCAGGGAGAGGTGTGTATATTTCCTCTTTAATAAAATACTAAACAACTGAAGTTCTACTTGTCCTAACTAACTGTGTATTTTCCATACTAGAGTGAAACGTGCTGATATTTCCAGCAAAGGAAGGGTCACTTACGGCTTCAGATGGCAGCAGCTGAAACACGCACCCAGTGCTAGGCAGAGAAATGCAATAACCAGGTGGAGCGCACCAGGCCCAGCCCCACCTGGGTTTGGGCACCTGGTAAGTACTGGGGCTGGTGGGCAACCTCGCAGCCCAGTTCTCACTCGCCTGTAAAAGAGCTGCCCCAGTCAGGGGGGAGGACGGCGGGGAGAAGAGCTGCAAGCCCAGGCTGAGATCTGGCAGCAGCCCCGTGACTTACCTCTGACCAGGTTCACATGTGGCTGCAGGCTGGAAACATCTGTCTGGGGTACCATTTGGGACACCATTTTGTAGTTCTTAAAGCTAGTGGGAAGAAGGTGAGCATACTGGGACCCAAGGGGCACAGCGCTGGCACTGCTCCCCAGCCAGGTGGGCTCTGCACAACAGCTGGTGCTTCTGTGCTCCTTGGAGGCAGCAGCGCTGCCCTGTGTTCATGCCATCCAGTGTGAGCTCCGCACGGACCAGCCACGGCTCTGCATTGGCTCTGCGTGCGTGCAGAGTACACAGAGCCTGGTGGTGTGCTTGTCCTGGGAGCGGCTGGGACGCCGAGGGTATGGTACCCCAACACACCCAAGTGCTGGTGACAAAACAAACAGGGGAAGAGGTGAGATCACCACCACCAGACCAGTAACACACATTGTTAGGGCAGGATCTGAAACGCGTTTCACAAGCAGTATAGCAGGTGACAGTATAGAAACAGCACTGCTATTGGGTTGCAGTGGGGTGAATAGAGTGATACAGGTGCTGCTGGGCAGGGACACTGCCCAGTTTTGTATTGCAAAACAGTGAGTGACGCTTAGTAGTGACAGACCTCTCCGACCATCACACCCATCTTCTGCCCCATGCGGCCCCCAAGGGCCTGCAGCACCTTTTCACACACCCACACGCTTCCCCCACCCCCCAACATAGGCACAAGGCAAGCAGGGAGGTTTGTGCTTCACCCGCAGTGACACGATGCATCTTTCTTTACCAGAGTTCAGTGGCCATTGTGTAAGAAAACAGCAGCCAGCAGCCCTCTTACCCGCTCCCTGTGTGCACAGCTCACGCAAGAAAGTTCAACCAAGGGCCTTTTTAATGGAGCTTTGTAGGAACACACCACGCGCAGGTTAGTTTGCTCACACGTGTTTCATTTTCTGCATTCTTCAGCCTTTTCCAGGTTTGCCTGTTCCGTGCCCTTGGAGCCCACGGCTCCTGCCATGAGACAGTGAGCCAGGCCTTGGCAAAATGACTGCTTTTAAAGTAGTACAGTTAAAACTCAGGTGCGTTACCCATCCACAAAAACAACACAGCACCATGAAACACAGGCTCTGAGCACAGGACAGGCTGCGCTCCTCCAGTGCCGTGCAACTGACTTGGTTATTTGGCAAAGTTACTGCCGCTGCCATGAGCCTCTGAGTCAGTGCAGGTAGCCCAGCGCTGCGCGGTGCTTCGGCACGCTTGGCTTTGCCCTCAGAGCCCACAGCTGCCAGCCAGCAGCCCCACAGCTGCCTTGGCAGCAGCAGAACTGGGATATCGCCCTCTGCTACAGACCCACCAGCGCCCAGCGAGACTCGACACAGCACAGAGGGTTCTGGGAAAGGCTGCGGGGGGGGGCTGGGGGGGGAAATACAGTGTTGCGATGGAAAAGCTTCCCAGCACCAAGACGTGAAACCAGCCAGGGCTGGAGGGCTAGTCTTCAGCCAGCGGAGGGGGGGCCAGGTGCAGCTGGAAGTTCTCGTTCTGGAAGACACTGCTGGTGGCCGGGTCACCGTGGGAAACACTGAGCAGCCCGTGCTTTTCACCGCCATGGCCGCGAGACAGTTCTGTCAGGAGGGCTAGCTGCAAGACAAAAAGCAGGGAGATGACTGGCAGCCTGAGCAGTCTGCTTAGCAGCACTTGTGCATGGTGCAGAAAGACATAGTGCTCGGAGGGGCTCACCTTCTTCTGCAACAATTAGAAAAACCTTAACCCATGTAAAGGAAAAGGGTATGTATCGTACATAGTGACCCTGTAGAGCTCAGTGCAGCACAATGGTCCTGAACTAAACAGCTTTCCAGGTGTCTTTAGGTTGTTTTAAAGTTACATAATTGAAAAACAATCCCAGAAAGAGCTGTAGGTGCCAACAACTGCAGCCGAAACAGGCAGGAGGCACAAGGGAAATGCAGAGGACAGAGGGAGCTGCGCTCTCCTTGGGACAACACGGGGGGCAGGAGGAGGGAGCCTTCCATGCGATCGCAGGAGCCACACAGTGTCCGGGAGGAGGGTTATTTGCAAATCTAAAAAGAATCCAAGCATCCTCACGCCGTGGACACTTTGCAGGCCCAGCCTCAATGCCAGAAGCATTTCCATGGTTTCACTGCCAGTGAATTCCCCAGCTCTGTCAGAGGCAGCATGGCTGCCTTGTGATGTGAAACAGCCAGCTCTACGCACACTGAACTGCCAGCACTAAATGAAACCCAAGTGAAAAGCCAAAGCCCACACTGCCAGTGCTAATA